TACTTATATTCCCTCATTCCTCATCCATCATGCCTTTCCTCTCACCCTCTTCCTAAGCTGCCCAACTTACTCCCAAGAGTTATAAAACTTTCATGCTCCTCTGCACTGCACCACACCCGCCTTAATCACCCAACCTGCTCCCACCCATTCTTCCTCTCGACTCTGGTTGACCCTTATGATCCCTTGTTCTCACCTTCATGCCACCAGGCTTGTCCCCGAAGCTGTTGATCTGCCCACGGCGCGAGTTGAGGTCGCCAATGACGTCGCCCATGTGGTCCTCAGGCGTCACCACCTCCACCTTCATCACTGGCTCAAGCAGACGAGGCGACGCCTTGCCCATACCATCCTTGAAGGCTCCACGTGCCGCCAACTGGAAGGCCAGCACAGAGGAATCAACCTCGTGGTAGGAACCCTCTGATGAGGGGGGGACCGGGAGGGGAGGGTGGGGGGATAAAGGGTTAGGGAGATGGCGGAGGCGAGAGCGATGAGGGTAGTGAAAAGGTGGGTGCAGTTGGAGTGGCAGGAGGGTTGGGTGTTGGGCAGATGCGGCTGCCTTGTGGTGGGTGGCATGTGAGGAGGGGAATTGTCTTTTCTGAAGGTGAAGGTGGGGCGGACAGATAGGGATAGCTGGAGCCCATCCAGACAAAGGAAACAATTGTGCCCAAGGTTGGGAGTGCATCCAGGGGAGTACGTGTGTGCGCTTGTGTGCATGAGTGTGAGTGTGTGTGTGAGTGTGTGTGAGTGTGTGTGTGTGTGTGTGTGTGTGTGTGTGTGTGTGTGTGTGTGTGTGCATGCCCGAGCATGTAGTAACAAAGCTGCCTCTTGACACATACCAATGAGAGTGGCGCGCACGTCCACCACAGGGAAGCCAGCGAGCACGCCGCTGGTCATGCACTCCTCGAGCCCCTTCACCACGCCGGGCACATACTCCTTGGGCACCGTCCCGCCCTTGATCTCGCTCTTGAACTCGTACCCACTCCCCGGCTCCAGGGGCTCGAACTTAATCACCACCTCAGCGAACTGGCCCTGCCCGCCCGACTGCTTCTTGTGCGTGTACTTCACCTCCACCGGCCGCCCAATGCTCTCCCTGTAGTTCACCTGCGGCGCGCCCACATTCGCATCCACCTTGAACTCCCGCTTCAGCCTATCGACGATGATCTCCAGGTGCAGCTCGCCCATGCCCTCGATGACCGTCTGGTTGGTCTCCTCGTCCCGGGAGAAGTGGAACGACGGGTCCTCCTGGGCGAGCTTGATCAGCCCGTTGGCCATCTTGTCCACATCCGCCTTGGTCTTGGGCTCGATGGCCACCTTGATGACTGGGTCCGGGAAGTCCATGCGCTCGAGAACCACGGGGGCGTCGGGGTCGCAGAGGGTTTCGCCCGTGATGGTGTCCTTGAGTCCGGCGAGAGCAATGATGTCGCCCGTGCGCGCGATCTTCACGTCCTCACGGGAGTTGGCGTGCATCTCCAGCAGCCGCCCGATGCGCTCCTTGCGGTTCTTGTTCGCGTTCAGCGCGTACGTACCCGCTGTCAGCACGCCGGAGTACACGCGCACGAACGTCAGCGACCCCACGAACGTATCCGTCATAATCTTAAACGCGAGGCCAGAGAATGGGGCAGAGTCGCTGGGCGGGCGGTCGAGGGCTTTCTCGGGGTCGTCGGGGTCGGAGCCCTTCATGGGCGGCAGGTCGAGGGGCGAGGGCAGGTAGTCGATGACGGCGTCCAGCAGCGGCTGCACGCCCTTGTTCTTGAACGCCGTGCCGCACAGCACCGGCACGAATGCGGACGCGATGGTGCCCTTGCGGATGAGCTTCCTCAGGGTGGCTTCGTCGGGCTCCTCGCCCTCCAGATACGCCTCCATGGCATCGTCGTCCTGCGGGCAGGCGATGAGACGGACATGGATGACAGGGGGAAGCAAAGCGATGAGTGAAAAAGCGGAGGCGAAAGGGCCCCAGCAGATCGGCTTCCTCAGAGTGGCTTCGTCGGGCTCCTCGCCCTCCAGATACGCCTCCACCCATCGTACCCAGCTGGAAGTCTACGCCTGGTTCGTTAGCCTAACTGCTACGGCCTACGACTTCCCACGGTGAGTGGGACCCCTAACTGCTCCCACAGACATCGTCGGTATGTCCGGTCGACGATCCACCACTCGTAGGTGAGTGCTGCTCGTATCACGATTCCTAAACGATTTCGCCTTGCGCATACCCTCTCCTCTCCCTGCCCTCCCTTGGGCTGCCATCATCTACACGCCAGAAAGCGACGAGCGGACATCCGTTGCAAGTGAGTGCTCGTTTCAGGAAGCGCACGATTCAACCACCTCTCGTCCACCCACCCACCCTCTAAGTGACCCATCACCCACCCTCCACCCACCACCAACCCCCCTCCCCGCAACTCACCAGCTCGACCACCGACTCCACGAGCTGCGCGCGGTACTCCGCGGCCTTGTCCTTGAGATCCTCGGGAATGTCGCGGTACTCGAAGCTGGCGCCCAGCTCCTCGCCGTTCCACACGATGGCCTGCATGCGCACCAGGTCCACCACGCCCTGGAAGGCGTCCTCCGCGCCGATGGGCAGCTGCAGCACGAGCGGGTTGGCGCCCAGGTTGCTGACGATCATGTCGCGCGTGCGGTAGAAGTTGGCGCCCAGGCGGTCCATCTTGTTCACGAAGCAGATGCGCGGCACGCCGTACTTGTCGGCCTGCCGCCACACCGTCTGATGTGACCGAGGGTGGGTGTGTGGAGGGGGGGGGGGAGGAGAGAGGGGAAGGTGGGGAGAGACCGGTAAGAAGCCGTTCTTCACAACTTGGCTGTTACGCTTCGGTAAACTCAACAAGAAACACTCCTAAAAACATCAAGCCTTGCCCTTGAGTCACATGCTAGGACGTACCTCGGAATGGGGCTCGACGCCAGCGACGGAGCCGAAGAGGCAGATGGCGCCGTCCGGCACGCGCAGGGCGCGCTCCACCTCGAGCGGCTTACCTATTACTACGGGCTGGCACGACACGCAGGGCGTACCTGGGTCAGAACTTACCTCAGATTGGGGCTCGACGCCAGCGACGGAGTCGAAGAGGCAGATGGCGCCGTCCAGCACGCGCAGGGCGCGCTCGACCTCGAGCGTGAAGTCGACGTGGCCGGGCGTGTCGATGATGTTGATGCGGTGCTTGTTCCACATGCACGTCGTCGCGGCGGATGTGATCGTGATGCCGCGCTCTTGCTCCTGAGGACGAGGGTGATTGAGGAGGGGCGAGCCGTGAGGAATTGACAGAGTGACGCAGAGTTGCAGAGATGGAGGAAGGGGAGGGGACAAAGAGGGCGAAGAGAGTAGAGGGACAAGGAGGGCGAAGAGAGTAGAGGGACAAGGAGGGCGAAGAGAGTAGGGGGACAAGGAGGGCGAAGAGAGTAGAGCGACGAGGGAATGAACGCGACGATGCGCGGATAGCGGTGTGCTTGGATCAACTTCAATCGTCTGCGTGCTTCTGCGCCCCGCGATCAAGCTTCACTCAAATCCTCGACGATAGCGCAAACATGGAACCACACCCAGCCCACCCACCCAACAACCACCCAACAACCACCCAACTAACGGTTACCCGCCAGCCCCTCCCCGACCCCTTCCCCTCTCCCCCCCCCCAGAGTGACTTTGAGGCCTCACCTGCTCCATCCAGTCCATGGTGGCGGTGCCCTCGTGCACCTCACCGATCTTGTAGTTCTTGCCCGTGTAGAACAGCACGCGCTCCGTCGTCGTCGTTTTGCCCGCGTCGATGTGCGCCATGATGCCGATGTTGCGGTAGTCCTCCAGGGGCACCTCGCGGCCTGCACAGGGGCAGACAGGGACATTGCAGGGCGCAGACGCACAAGCCGCGGAAATCCACAGGGGCTGAGGTGCAGAGGAGCACGCGGACGAGCACCACGATGCTGATGTTGACGTCCCGATATACCTTCAGCTTCAGTGCGAGAAACGGTACGCTACGTTCACAAGGCGACATGGCGTGCAGTGATGGTTCTCCACCGAGCATCTCAACAACCAGGCATCGACGAACCCTCGCGACAGGGAATGGTACGCCTTGCTCCGACTCGCTGACGACTACCGGGCGTCAGAGCAAAGCGTCAGAGTGCGAAACCAGGTAGCTGAAAACGGTTTCGCGCGATATGAGGACATAGAGAACTATTTTGAAGTACAACAGACAACCCTCTGAACGAGCCTAGTCGCACCTGCATCGGCCATGCAGATGACGGGCGAGCGACCAGCGGCGACTGATCGCGTGGCGGACCGCATCTTGCGGCTGGAAGTCTGCTTCGCCTGGGAGGCCTTGGCGGCACCGGGGAGATCCTTGCCGGCCTTGAGGCCGACGAACGGCACCGCGACGGCCGCATTGCTCGATGCGGCCGCGGCAGACCTGTCGCCTGCGACAGGCGCTGCGACGCTGCTGGCGACCTTGAGAGGACAGCTGGCGAGCGACGACGCCATTTTTCTCTGCTGGTAACCAGACAAGTTTGGGTGAGGGGAAGCTGTGAGAAGGGCTTCGAGATAGACAGCCCTAACTGGAATCGCTGGGAGAAAGCGATTACACCAGCACACATTAGCTGGAGACCGTCGAGGGTTTGGGAGATAAGGGAATTGTTTGGCCTGCTTTGCTGGGCTTGGCAGTCGCTGCCTGGGGTGAGCACTGAGTAATCCAGGGAATGTTGGAAGGGATGCGCGAGCGTGGCGGAATGCAATCCAGTCAGTCAGTGGATAAAATTCGCGTGGCCGAGCGAAGTGTCACTGCTGGAAACGCGATGCCACGCTGGGCGTTACAGCGTTACAAAAACCGAATGTGGAACGTGGAGGTTTGCCCACCTCGGCCTGAAAAGCGCTGTGACAAGGCTACAGTGTACACCGTGGCGCTCAGTGTATCCTCCACATCAGCACAACGGAATAAAAACTGCGCCGTGGAATCGCCTCGACACATCACGTCTCGGCTAAGGAGTGGTCGCGTCGCGAGCAGATGTACACTGTCGTTCATTTCCCCATTAAGTGTGTGGAAACCCGAGTTTGTACAGGATAGGCACATTGTGGTTGTAAAAGGGGCAAGTAAGCACCATTCACCTCTGAAACCATTCAAATTAATCAGAACTTCCTAACGCAATGATTCCTTTCACATCACATTCATCCTCTGAGTGGAGTTCTTGATCCACCTCCCCTGTCGGCCCCTCCACCTCCCCCCCATCCCCTCCCTCCACCTCCACCTCCCCCTCCCTCACCACCCCAACCACCTGTATTCTGCCAACCACTCCCACCCCCTCCCCCAGGCTGCCAAACTTGCCCCCCTCCCTGCTCTCCCCCCCCTCCCCCACTCCACGCCCCTCCCCCCCACCCAATCTTCTCCCCGCCTCCCCCAGCAGCCCCCCACCCACCAGACCCAGCCTGGTCCCACCGTCCACCCCTTCCCCCTACCGGCACAGGGGGCGGAGGGGGCAAGGGCAGACCCGAGCCAGAGAATCCCGAGCCATGACCACTCGCACCAGCAGCAGCCCCCCCTCGGCGAGGAGTCTCCCTTTTCCCACCCATGCCACCGCCCCCACCCCCACCACCATCACCAGCATCCACCGGGTCGTTGAAATGGGCCTGGAAGTACTTAACTAAGCGATCCGGGGTCGGAAACGTGTGCTTGCGGAAGCGGAACCCCACGGGCGAAACGGTGATGTACTCGTGCACGGGGCGGCCGGAGACGGAGGCGGAGCGGATGTAGGTGAGCATGAAGGCGCCCGGGTGGTCGTGCGAGATGGACAGGTAGTACGGGATGCGCGCCGGCTCGCGCTCCTTGTCGGCGCGCACCAGGGCGTCCATGTCCGCCTTGCTGCCCGCGCGGAACTTGCGGTACGCCGCCATGTCGCGGATGAAGGCTGCCAGGGGTTCGATGTAGCGCGCCATCACCTGAGAGAGGGGTGAGGAGGGGTGGAGAGGTAAGGAGATAGCAAGGCAGGGAGGAAGAGCAGGATAAATAAAGAGAAACAAGGCGAAGAGAAAGGATGGGATGGAGGGAGGGAGGAATGTAACAGCTTACACTCGCTTCTTCCTCATCTCATACACAGGTCTTCTAACGCCCCATAAGACATGATGCGTCTCAACCCATGAGGCATCCAGAGCTGCCACAACAGTCACCCCTTCTCACCTCGTCCACATATTCAAACCACTCGCCTGCAATCCTGAGCGTGCGGCGAGGCGGAGGAAGCTGGTGGCAGTGGTGTGGCCCTTGCCGCCCTCGTGCCCCATTAGGTGTCTCCACCGCCACAACCCTCACGCCCCATTGCCCCCCTTCCTCCCTGGCCTCACCTCGTCCAGGTCTTCAAACGACTCGTCCGCGATACTCAGAGTCCTCCCAAGGCGGAGGAAGCTGGTGGCGCTGGTGCGGTCCTTGCCGCCCTCGTGCACGTCGATATGCGTGAACGCCCCGTCGGGCAGCTTCATGGTGACACTCAGGTGTGTGGGGCCACGGCTGCTGGGGCGGATCACCACACTGCCGATCTCCTTGTCTGCGAGGGCCTGACGGGGGAAACGGGGGGGAGCCGGGGGGGGGGTGGAGAAGAAGAAGGGATGCACGTGAATAGAGCGTCTTAAAGCCTCATGGTGCTGCTCAGGTGCGTGGGGGGGACCGATCACCACACTGCCCATCTCCTGCTCGCTAGGGCCTTGCGTTGGGAGAAGGGAAGACAGCACGGGGGAAAGGGGAAAGGATGCCCATGAAAAGGCTGTTGGAGGTTTCATTCATGTTTAGAAGCGCCTCAAAGTAGGTGAGCACAACTGATCTCACTGAGCGCACCTTTTGTGTCACAAACAATGCATCTTCTTAGCGACATCCAGCGACACGTTCTAAAAGGCGGCTTCCCTCTTACCCTCCTCGCTCTTCCTACCCCCCCTCGTCTTCCCCTCCTCTGCTACTGGAGCGACTCACAAACAACGCACCTTCTTAGCGCCATCCAGCGACACGTTCTGGAAGAGCGGGTAGGTGATCATGCGCGGGCGGAACGCCGACTTCCTCTTGTCCTCCTCGCGCTTCTTCCTCTCCTCCTGCGCAGCCTGCTCCTCCTGCTCCACCGCCGCCCGCTGGTAGTACGGGTCCCACTGCCGCATCTCCCGCCACTCGGTGCTTCTTAAGTCGCTGCCCTTGCACGTTAGAATCACCTGCGGGGCAGAAAGAGGGGTGGATAGGCAGCGGGGGGGAACCTCCGTGTGTGGATGCAAGGGTGCTCCTTCTGCAATGCCTGCTCCTCCTGCTCCACCGCCGCCCTCTGGTAGTGCAGGTCCCACTGCCGCATCTCCCGCCACTCCATGCTTCGTAAGTTGCTGCCCTTGCACATCAAAATGATGTGGGCGAGGAGAGACGGGAGTGGCAGAGTGGCACGGGGCGAAGGAAGCTCAAACCGGGATGGTGTGGGGAATGAAGAGAAAAGAAGCAAGCTCAAGCAAATGGAGATACACGAGGTGAAGCATGCTGGCTGGTGCTGTCCAGAACTGGGCTAAAAACTGCACACTGTACGCCATATCTTCCCACCGAAAGCCAAGTTACCCAGTCATACAAACGCCCCACACCCACCTTGGCCTCCTCCTTCTTGACTTCCTTAATCCGGCACGTCAGCGGCTGCCCCTCGGTGACCACGTCCCTGAGCTCCACATTGGGGTCGTCGCTGAAGTCTCTGCGGTCCACCTCGCCCAGCACGCCGCTCTCCAGCGCGCACAGCACCTTGAACTTGAGCACGCGCTTCACCGACACCGTCACCACCTTGCCGATCGCCAGGCTCTCCTCCGTCTCACCGCTCAGCAGCCAGAACTGCTCATCCGCGTTTAGAGATTCGAACTGCGTGCGGCACTCCGCGAACCCGTGCATCAGCTCGCGTCGGATCAGCAGCAGCTTTTCTTTGAGCCCGCCCTGCCCCTTCCGAGCCAGCATGACTGCGTAGTCCTCGAAGTCGAGCCTGCGGATCAGGTCCGGGTTGTCCCGAGCCTCGACGACGACGTCGATGCCGCGCTCCTCCACGCTCTCAGGCGTCATTCCGCGGTGCGCCTCGCAGTACCCGTCCGTGGCCACCTTGAGCGCGAGGCGGTAGTCGGCCGGGTGGATTCGGGAGTCGTCCAGCATGTCGTCCTGGCCTCGCACGCGGATAAAGGCAGCGGCGTTGATGAAGACAACCTGCAGCGGGGAGGGGTTGGGAGGAAGAAGGGGCGGAAGGGAGCGCGGACAGGGGGAAAGAGGGGGGCGTGTGTCAATCCAGGAGAAGCTTGTGGTTCTGCTGCACCTCTCAGGCAGTCATCCCGCAGTGTGCCTCGCAGTAGTCATTCGTCGCCACCTTGAGCGCGAGGCGGTATTCGGCCGGGTCGATGCGCGAGTCGTCCAGCATGTCGTCCTGGCCTCGCACGTGGATGAACGCCGCTTCGGAGATGAAGAGAACCTTCACAGGAAGAGATGGGGGTTTCATTCGGGGGCGTCTCGCCTTCCATCTTGTGTCATCAGAGCAGGACCGACAAGAGCGACACGCTTCAATCTAGAGGTTGGAGCAGGTCGCTCTGGCGCCTCATGCAGATGCGTGCTGCGGCGATAATAAGCGGCACGCGGGAAGGACGGGAGGGGGTTGGGCCAGAGGAAAGGGAGAGCGGTGTGAGTTCCCATAAGACAGCAGCTACGAGGGTACATGGGGGCTGCAATTCCCATCCAAGAGCAAGCAAGAAATCAGATGGAGAATGGTTCACGCACCTGGTCCAGCAGGAAGGGCGGGTCGATGAGGTCCTTGCGACGCCGCACCACTCCCTCCCCCAGAATGCGCACCTGTGGGGAGTGGGAGGGGAGCAGGAGAGGGGAGAATAGGATAATGGGAGGGGGATGCAGGGGGGTGGGTGGGGCAGGGGTACGAGGGCGGAGGGGGGAAGTAAGTGAAGGGAGGGCGAGAGGGCAAGAGTGTGTCAGACACGGGTGAGGGATGGAAGACAGATGGGCGAAATGGGTCATGTCAGCAGGGAGCCAAGGCACTCACCTTGAGCGTGGACGCCTTCCTGGGCCCGAGGCCGCACACGAACTGCAGCGGGGAAAACAGCCAGTCCTGCGCCTCCTGGGCAGCGTAGTTCACATCCACGCCCACCTGTGAGCATGGAGGACAAGGGGAAGAAGGAAGGAGAGAGACGTTAAGGGTTGACACATTTTCTGGCCCAAGGTAAGCCACGCTAACATACGAACTGCAGCGGGGCAAAGTGCCAGTCCTGCGCCTCCTGGGCCACATAGTTCACATCCACGCCCACCTGCGAACAGGGAGCGGGTGAAAGGCAAAGGAAACAACAAAGGCATGAGAGAGAACCGAAGCATGCAAAGAGTTGTGTCATGTTACTATAGCTCGTAACTCTATCTAGCTGGTAACCCTAGCTCATTGGTAACCCTAGTACTAGTTGCCCACCAGGGGTTGGTAACCCCACCTGGATGGTAACCCCACCAGGTTGGTAACCCCACCAGTTTGCTAGTCCCACCTGGTTGGTAACCCCACCTGGTTGGTAACCCTATCTTGCTGGTAACCCTACCTGGTTGGTAACCCTATCTTGCTTTGCTGGTAACCCTACCTGGTTGGTAACTGTAACCATGACCCTTTCCAGTGCGTCATAGACATCATCAGGTGGCAGCAGGTCCTGCGAGCGGTGGAACTTGGCTGACAGGATCTCCCTGGCCGGCCCAAACAGGCATGCGGTGAGGGCCAGGCGGTTCTGCATGTAGCGCCCCAGCCCCACCGTGCGCCGCACTATGCCTGATGGCGGGGAGGAGGCGCGGGGCACACGGGTTGAATGGTGTCGGAACATTCCAAGCGCGTCTGCAGTGACCACACACTCATGATGTGCAGGGCACCACGTGCCCCATCAGAGGGCTTGGGAGGACAAGGGTTAAACAGATAGCAGCAGGGGGAAGTGCTTTGGCATGGGGACTGTTAATGGGCCAGATGAAGGGAGGATGGATGACGAGAAAGAGACGAGGGAAGGAGGGAACAGGGGGAAACGAATGAGACAGAGAGAAAGCAGGGAAGGGATTACTCTCCAAAATTATGAAAGGCGAATTTGAGAATGCTTTCGGGCCGTGGGTGGGAATGAGAGACAAGAGGAGTTGAAACAAGTGTTGGACACATGAGGTGTAGAAACATGTGATGGCAAGGTCCCACAACAACAATCCAGTGATGGCACGCGCCTGGCTGCGACGGCAGGTGCTCCAGCGAGATGGCGGAATTCTCATACAGCAGAGCGAATGTCTCGTCTTGAAACACCACCTGCACAGCACTCGTGGGGGGCCAGAGGGAAGGGCAGGGGCGGCACGGAGGAAAGGATTTAGTCAGCGATGCGATGGTGATGGCATGTTGAAAGGCAGTAAGGGCAAAAGAGTGAATGCCAGGACGACTCGATTTCACAAAATAAGCGCTCACCCGGACATTGTCCACATCAGACGTGAGGTCGCGAGGGAAGTGCTCCACGATCTTGAAGATGACCTGCGGGGGGGAGGGAGGAGGGAGGGAGGAGGAATGGAAACGACCATGTGAGCAACCACACAAGTAAAGGGGCCGAGAGAGAAACGGCAAATGAGGGGCAGACACGCCTATGTGACACCCGATCGCAAAAAAATATCATATCTGTTCTGATCGATGCACCCACGCGCCCGAATCCCAGCACCTTCATCCCAAAGCCCCCATCCCATAGCCCCCATCCCAAAGCCCCCATCCCTTAACCCCCATCCCATAGCCCCCATCCCAAAGCCCCCATCCCATAGCCCCCATCCCAAAGGCCCCATCCCAAAGGCCCCATCCCATAGCCCCCATCCCATAGCCCCCATCCCAAAGCCCCCATCCCAAAGCCCCCATCCCATAGCCCCCATCCCAAAGCCCCCATCCCAAAGCCCCCATCCCAAAGCCCCCATCCCAAAGCCCCCATCCAAAGCCCCCATCCCAAAGCCCCCATCCCAAAGCCCTCATCCCAAAGCCCCCACCCCAAAGCCCCCATCCCAAAGGCCCCATCCCAAAGCCCCCATCCCAAAGCTCCCATCCCAAAGCCCTCATAGCAATCCCCACAAGCGATACTACAGTAGCCCATGCACCACACATGGGCCTCCCACTGACCTCCCAGATCTCGTCCTTGAGCCTTTCACACGCCAGGTTGGCGCCGCCCACCACGACCACGTGCGGCTTGTGCTCCTTCACAAAGCTCATGAGCCGCTTCTCGTCCTCGCGCTTCTTCATCACCATCACCTGCTGCTCGCCCTTCTCACCCCCGCCGCCCCCTGCCCCCGCTCCCCCATCGCCCCTCCTGCCGCACCCCCCATCCCCGTGTCCCCCTTGGGCTGCCCCGTCCTAGCGCAGAGGAACCCAGTGTGAATGAAGTCAACCATTTCGCCTGCGGCGTTCAGCATGGCAAACGTGGTCGCAGGGTTACCAGGCCCCCAGCAGCAAGCCATCACCCGCAGCCACGGCTGCCCGCCCCCATGCTCCTCCCCTCCCCCATGCCTCCCGCCCCTCCCGCCGCCCCCCCGCATCCCCCCTCCCCCACCTCCGCCCATCCCTCCCCCCCCTCCGCCCCTCCCGCCCCCTTGGCGCGGACGTCAAAGGGAGCCACGGAGACGTGCTTCCAGAGGGAGAGCGCGCACTGCTCGGAGACGAAGGCCTTGGCGCGGCCGGTGAGCAGCAGGCGCGTCTCCTTGTGCATCGTGGGCAGCAGGCGCGACGCGATGGCCGCGCGCAGGATGGTGCGGCGCTGCTCGTTCCACAGACCTGCGAAGTGGGAGACTCCGTCTGAGAGATAGGCCGCTTCAAACTCCTGAGAAGCACGAAGAGAAGAGAAGGAAAGGGTGGCGTAGGGGGGAGGGAAAGGGAGGAGGGGGGGGGGGGTCAACATGAGAATGCTGTTCGTTCCAGAGACCCGCGAAGAGGGACACGCCATCTGAGAGATAAGCCGCTTCGAACTCCTGAGAAGCAGTTAAGGGGGAGGCGGGACGAGGGGCAGGGGTTGGGATGGAAACGAAGGCTCGTTCCAAAGAGAGGCGAAGTGGGACACGCCGTGAGCGAAGGCTGGCTCAAACTCCTGAGGGAAACAGGGTGCGGGGAAGCGGGGAGAGAGCTGGCTTGAGAACGCCCGTGCTTGTTCCACAGCAAGAAAGAAGGCATGTGTTGTGCGTGTGCCTCTGCATCATCACGCCCCACTGCACGCCCCCCAGCCCACCCACGTGCATTCTCTTCTCCCCATGTGAATCACGTTCTCCTGCACCACGCCCAACCTAAATCTTGAACCCTACACCCTTTACCGCGAGCTCTCCACTCCCACCCGAGCAGCGTTTTCTTCTTCGGCACCACCCACTAGCTAGACCATAGGAGCCTTAACCCCGAACCTTCAACCCCCACTGAGACGACGATCTCGCGCACCACACACAACCCACCCCTAATCCAAAAGCTCTCAACCCCCACCTGAATCCCGTTCTCCTGCACTGCATCTCAGCTGAACTCAAACCCTAAAGCCGTAATCCTTAGAACCCAAGTGGATCACGTTCTCCTGCACCACACTGGGCGACAGCCCCACCTCGACTCCTACGATTCCCTCGGCCACAGCCTTGGCGATGAGCAATCACTGGTCGTCGCGGAACTCGCCCCTAGGACGCCCTCTTTAAGCCCCTCCGCCCTCCCACTAGGTGATTGAGAGAGAGCCACAGTGCCAAGGTGCAAAAATAAGGTAATCGTATTATACGGGTCGTATAATACGATAGTTTTTTTCGGCCATTTTCTGAAAAAACGCCGTTTTTTTGTTCGAAATTCCTGGTTTTTCTTTTTCTTCTTTTTTATTTTTCCTTTTTTGGGCAGATCCACGCACATAATAGATCCCCGCATTTTGGCCGCCAAAACGCGAGATCCATGCATTTCGGCAGGCGAAATTCCGGATCCACGCATTTCGCCGACCTAAACGTGAGATCGGCCAATTTTGGTGGGCGAAGTGTGAGATCCGCGCATTTTGGCACGCGAAATGCCAGATCTGTGCATTTCGCCCGCCAAAATGCGAGATCCGCGCATTTCGATGGTCAATATGCCAGATCCACGATTTTCGGCAGTCTATTCCACTCGGGTTTAAAAATTTCGGCCGGAAAAAACAACCGTCTTTTTGCACCACCCTCAAAATGGCACTTTTGACCGTTTTTAATCGTATTAAACGGCCGAAATATCCGGCACCGTATAATACGATAAAATTTTGAAAAAAAACGCCTTTTTTTTGCACCTTGCACAGCACACCTGAATCACGTTCTCCTGCACCGCGGTGGGCGACAGCCGCAGCATACCTGGATGACGTTCTCCTGCACCACGGTGGGCGGCAGCCCCAGCTCGACCTGAATGAGCCCCTCAGTCTCGGCCTTGGCGATGAGCAGCCACTGGTCGTCATGGAACTCGCCCACTGGCTTCTCCTTCAGCCGCTCGATGCCCGCGAAGCGGTGGAACGTGTCGATCACCTGCCAGAGAGGGAGAGGGGGGGGGAAGGAAATGGGGGGCGAGGGTGGAGGAGGGGAAGTTGGCAGAAGTTGAAGAGAGATGGCTGGTAGTGAGCAGCGAGGCGCGAGGTGGGAGAATAGGGAGGGCGAGTCAAGGAGGCAGCAGGATAGAGAATGGCGAAGACGAGCGGAGAGGAGAGAAACAAGAAGAGGTAGTCCAGTCCGGGGCGAGAGAGAGGAGAGCAGTCCGCTGCTGCAACCTGCCATCCACGTCGGTCCATTCAAGCTGGAATGGTGAATCCAGGGGGCCTTTACCTGTCTTGTCACCATAAGCACAGGGTCTGGTGGGGCGTTACCTGGCGGCCGCGCGGCGTGGGGTTGGTGGAGACGATGGCGCGCTTGTTGAAGATCTCCCGCACGTGCTCCCGCACCTTGGGCTCGATGCTGATCTCCACCTCCGCCTGCCATCCGTGCCATCCGTGCCATCCGTGCAATGCCGTATACGTGCCATATGTTCCATAGATGCCAATCGCGCAGCAAACATGCCATGCCGATGCACGCCCACACAGATGCATCACGCGGCCATGCAAACAAGGGGCAGCCAGCACCACACCAAGCAGCACACATTCCACAATGCGATCACATGAAACGGTTCAAGATGCAACAAACGGTGTGGGTCATACACTGTACAGTACAGCATGAGAGCACCGCAAAGGCATGTGTGGCATGGCGGTGTGTGGCCAGGCATGTGGCATTGAGCTCCATACACAACCCACCACCTCCCAAACACCATGCGCTGGGCAGCTCTAATGCCCCACACACCATCATGACCCCCCACGGTGGGGGGCCCCACCCACCACCATGCCCCACCCGCCATCGCTTCCACCATCGCCACCCACCACCATGCATCATGCGCCACCATGCCCCACCCACCCACCATGTGGCGTGCGCCTCTGAGCACGAGGGTGGGCGAGGGGAACTCGGCGCAGATGTACTCCGTGGCCACATCCTCGGGTGACAGCAGCGTGTCGTCCACCTCGTGTTGCTGCGCGCAGGGAGAAGGGGGAGTAGGACTGGGTCGAGCACTTGACTCAAGTCGACGGGTACTCCGTGGCGACACCCTCGGGCGACAGCAGCGTGTCGTCCACCTCGTGTTGCTGCGCGCAGGGAGAAGGGGGAGTAGGACTGGGTCGAGCACTTGACTCAAGTCGACGGGTACTCCGTGGCGACACCCTCGGGCGACAGCAGCGTGTCGTCCACCTCGTGTTGCTGCGCGCAGGGAGAAGGGGGAGTAGGACTGGGTCGAGCACTTGACTCAAGTCGACGGGTACTCCGTGGCGACACCCTCGGGCGACAGCAGCGTGTCGTCCACCTCGTGTTGCTGCGCGCAGGGAGAAGGGGGAGTAGGACTGGGTCGAGCACTTGACTCAAGTCGACGGGTACTCCGTGGCGACACCCTCGGGCGACAGCAGCGTGTCGTCCACCTCGTGTTGCTGCGCGCAGGGAGAAGGGGGAGTAGGACTGGGTCGAGCACTTGACTCAAGTCGACGGGTACTCCGTGGCGACACCCTCGGGCGACAGCAGCGTGTCGTCCACCTCGTGTTGCTGCGCGCAGGGAGAAGGGGGAGTAGGACTGGGTCGAGCACTTGACTCAAGTCGACGGGTACTCCGTGGCGACACCCTCGGGCGACAGCAGCGTGTCGTCCACCTCGTGTTGCTGCGCGCAGGGAGAAGGGGGAGTAGGACTGGGTCGAGCACTTGACTCAAGTCGACGGGTACTCCGTGGCGACACCCTCGGGCGACAGCAGCGTGTCGTCCACCTCGTGTTGCTGCGCGCAGGGAGAAGGGGGAGTAGGACTGGGTCGAGCACTTGACTCAAGTCGACGGGTACTCCGTGGCGACACCCTCGGGCGACAGCAGCGTGTCGTCCACCTCGTGTTGCTGCGCGCAGGGAGAAGGGGGAGTAGGACTGGGTCGAGCACTTGACTCAAGTCGACGGGTACTCCGTGGCTACACCCTCGGGCGACAGCAGCGTGTCGTCCACCACGCACGTGCACACCGCTCTCTCACCTTGTACATGGAGATCAGATTCTCCCCCAGCTGGAACGCCGACAGCCCCAGCCGCTTCACCACCCCTTGAGCCCGGCGCGCCGGCACACGGAGTACATGGACCGCTTCCTCGGCCTCCTCTGCACCGCGGGCCCGCCGTCCTCCCCAACGGCCTCCTCCGGGGGGAACTGCAGGTTGAACTTGGCGTCCACGTCCTCCACCGCCGGCTCTGAGAGCGCGCAGTCCAGCGCGTGCAGCACGCCCTGCATGGCGAGTTGTCGCTCCGCCTCCTCGTCCTCGTCGATTCGGGGTCGCTCGTACGCGGAACGGAGGGAGCGCTTGCGCCGCTGCAGCAGCAGCCAGCGCCGATCCCACTGCTGGATTGCCCACAGGGCCTGTGGGAGGGGGGGAAGGGGGGGAGGGGGGAGCGGGGGGGAACGGGGGAGGGAGAGGGGGGAAAAAAGGCATGGCAAGGGAAGAGGCGAGAGGGTGAATGAAGCATGGCAGTAGGGGTAGGGATTGATCAGGCATGTGAGAGTAAAGTGGGTGCAGAGAGGAGGGAGAGAGGGAGATGAAAGAAGGAAGATTGGGAAGAGGTGGAGAGAGAGAGAGAGGAGGAAGGGGGGATGGGGGAGAGAGGTGGAAGATGGGGGAATGGAGAGGGGTGGAGAAGGAGCAGGCGGGCCGAGGCGGAGAGCGTTGGCGCACCTGGAGGGACTGCAGGTCGGGCTGCTCGTCCAGCTTGTCAGGCTCCACAAGGGCCGGGCAGATGGCCTTCTTGTGCACCGCGATGTATGGCACCTGGGGGACGCCAACACACAGGGGGGTTGGGCGATGGATCCAAGGGGAACACAGCCAGGTGCCGAAACAGCAGGTAGAAATACGGGAAGGCCTATTTCCGAGTCAGTGCACGGCCTGACCTGCGGTCCACCCAACCCGAACCGACCCGACCGGACCCGACCAAAAGCGCCAGGTCGGCCGACCCGACGGGTAAAATCCGACCCGACACGGTCGTGTCGAGCTGCAAAGAGGGTCGACCCGACCCGGCCAAAACCCTGGGTGCCGACCCGTTGCTCAAGCCTGTCCTTACTTTTCAGGAAGTGGTACACTCCATCCAACAGGCTTGCGAGACCATACCACTGGCATTGCCGAACCTACAGCTGGTGCGTGGTGAGGGATGGAGATTTGATCACGCTTACGACGCGGCTGCTTTAGCTGTGCGCGGAGGTGGAGGAATCCGCCAGAACTTTGAAGGTATTCGCGTGCACGCAGCGAGATTGGCCGGTTAATGACGCTGTGTGCAGGGCTCTTCAATCAAGCTCTCAAGAAAGCTCTTCACGCCTCAGTCGTCCGGCAGACTTCAGCGCTCCCTCTTCGACGAGCATAGCTGTCTCTTCATAAGAGCCTTTCTGAGAGCTTGCCGACCGGCCCAGCATACAGCCCAGCCCAATCTAGCTGCGTACACATGGCTACCTTCAAAGTTCAGGCGGATTCCTCCACCTCCACACATGGTTCAAGCAGCTACGTCGTAAATAAAGTCAAATTTCTATCTCCGGTTGCCATCGCGTCCCTCCGACTAAACCACCACACACTCCGCATTCACTCACCATAACCTCTCTTCCCTTGCACTTCCCCCCCCCCCCAAAATCCCCCCCCCCCCTTTTTCCCTACCTCCACGTCTGCATCATGCATCTCCTCCAGCACTGCAGCAATCTATCCCTCGCAGCCATCGCCTCCCTTCGACACTTGAACCACCACACACACAGCACTCACTCACTATAACCCTCACTTCCCATCAAACACCCCCACCCCCTTTTCTACCTCCACTTTGGCATCGTGCATCTCCTCCAGCACCGCAGCGATCTGCTCGATCGCCCTATCCCTCGCCGCCAGCGCCTCCCGTCGGCACTTCTCCACGTCCTCGCGTGCGCACGTGGCGGCGCGCTGCTCCGCCTCGCCCACGTACGCAAACTCATTGCGCCGCAGGTGGTCGGGGGCCAGCGGCCCGAACACACGGTCATAGATCCACTCGGCCTCAGGCAGGTGGTCCTCGTTCTCGGGGATCACTCCCACCACCTCCTCCAAAAGCTGTGCAGGCGGCAGGAAGGGACGAAGGGAGGGAGGGGAAGAAAGGGAACCGGATGTCAACGAGGGCCTAACATCATCACATACGCAGCACGCGTCTCTGCCTCGCCCACATTCAAAAACTTGCCAGCCCGCAGGTGGTCGGTGGCCAGCGGGCCGAATACGAAGTAGTAGATCCACTCGGATCCACTCGACTACGGGGGGTGGGACGGAGGAGAACAGGGAAGCGAGCTAGAAAATCGGCTTTCTCCATTTGCAAGAACTTAACGAGCAACAACGTCTACAGCCCCGTCCTCTCGAGGAGGGGAGTTGCACTCTCGCAGTGACTTTAGAGCCCCTCTGCCTGCACCAACCTCTCTCAAAGTCACATCCCAAACCATCTCCCAACTTCTCCCATCTCCCATTCCCCATCCCCCATCCCCCACCTCCCACCTCCCATCCCCCAACCTCCATCCCCCATCTCCCATCTCCCAACTCCCAGCACCCACCTGCAGCCTCTCCGGCACGTCCCTGGCGCGTATGGCCTCATCCCTCTCCGTCATGTACTTGGCCTCCAGCAGGCTCGGCTCGTACTGCTTCGACAGAGCCGACGGCCCCCCGCGCCCTCCCGCCCATACTCCTCCCCGCCCTCCCCCCCCATCCCGTCCTCGTAGTAATACCCCCCCCCCCCCCTCCCCTGACTCCCTCCTCTGCCTCTCCAGCTCCACCCGCCGCCTCTCCAGCAGATCTGCCACGTCACCAAAAATATCCTGCGCCTCGAGGAGCGCCTCGGAGGTGACACCTGGCATGCGCATGCCCTTCTTCTTCTTCTTGCGGCGCCGCCTGCCGTGCTCGTCCGTGTCGTCCACCCCGCCCTCCACGATGAAGTCCGCCATCTCGTCCTCCTCCTCCTCGTCCTCCCCGTCCTCGTCGTCGTCCTCCTCCTCCCGCCCCTCCTCCCTGTCCTGGTAATCCTCGGGGACGTCTGGCAGGGGGAGGGCGCAGAGGGAGGGAAGCAGAGGACGAGAGTGAGGTGAACGCACACCGCCTGCCATGCTCGCCCGTGTTGTCCACCCCGCCCTCCATGATGAAATCGGCCATTTCGTCCTTGCCCTCCTCCTCCTCCTCCTCCTCCTCCTCCTCCTCCTCCTCCTCCTCCTCCTCCTCCTCCTCCTCCTCCTCCTCCTCCTCCTCCTCCTCCTCCTCCTCCTCCTCCTCCTCCCCCCCCCCCCCCTTCTCCTCCTCCTCCTCCTCCTCCTCCTCCTCCTCCTCCTCCTCCTCCTCCTCCTCCTCCTCCTCCTCCTCCTCCTCCTCCTCCTCCTCCTCCTCCTCCTCCTCCTCCTCCTCCTCCTCCTCCTCCTCCCGCTCCTCCTCCCTGTCCTAGTAATCCTCAGGCACGTCTGACAGGGGGAGGGCGGGTGAAGAGGGATGGAGAGAGGCGAAGGAGGACGAGAGGACACGCACACACATGGAAGACGCGGAGCGGGAGGTAGCCGGGACAAAACGGTCGGAGAACGCGACCGGCGTGCAAGTGGCAGCACAACACGCTGGAGCCAGTCAGCAGCGGCAACCAGCCATGCCAGAACTCCATCAATCTCAAAACACCTACTACCACCATCACATCAATACTTTCTCTCTCCCCCTCATCCCCATATCCCTCTCACCCTCATCTGACCCCCCCTCTCTCACCCCCATCCGACCCCCCCCTCTCACCCCCACCCTCCAATCCCCCTCTCGCCCTCATCCCCCTACCCCTCTCGCCCTCATCCCCCTACCCCTCTCGCCCTCATCCCCCTACCCCTCTCGCCCTCATCCCCCTACCCCTCTCGCCCTCATCCCCCTACCCCTCTCGCCCTCATCCCCCTACCCCTCTCGCCCTCATCCCCCTACCCCTCTCGCCCTCATCCCCCTACTCCTCTCGCCCTCATCCCCCTACCCCTCTCGCCCTCATCCCCCTACCCCTCTCGCCCTCATCCCCCTACCCCTCTCGCCCTCATCCCCCTACCCCTCTCGCCCTCATCCCCCTACCCCTCTCGCCCTCATCCCCCTACCCCTCTCGCCCTCATCCCCCTACCCCTCTCGCCCTCATCCCCCTACCCCTCTCGCCCTCATCCCCCTACTCCTCTCGCCCTCATCCCCCTACCCCTCTCGCCCTCATCCCCCTACCCCTCACCCTCGTCCCCAAAGATCTCGCGCTCCACGCGGTGCTGTGCGCGCATGCCGCCCTCCTCGTCCTCCTCGTCGTCCATCAGCAGCCCCTCCTCGTCCCCGCCCATGTGCCGCGCCTTCTTCAGCCGCTTGAACTTCTTGTCCTTCTGCAAGCCCAAGGTTACAACAGAGGGGTTACAGGGAGGATACGAGAACGAATGAGCACAAGGGTACCCCGAGGTCCACGTCGTCCCCTGTGTGCCGCGCCTTCTTCAGCTGCTTGAACTGCTTGTCCTTCTGGCCGGGGTGGAATGAGGCGAACAGGGGGGAGAGGGAAATATGTCGCCCGTGCAACACGCAATGGAGAGAAAAGAGAGGAGGCCACAGGCGGAGAGAGGAAGTGGGAGCTCTTTAGTCCACTTCAGCCATGGCTGGCCTCCGCGTCCTCAATGACCACCTCACCACCTCATCACCTCACCACCTCACCACTTCATCATCTCATCATCTCATCACCTCATCATCTCATCATCTCATCATCTCATCACCTCATCATCTCATCATCTCATCATCTCATCATCTCATCATCTCATCATCTCATCATCTCATCATCTCATCACCTCATCATCTCATCATCTCATCATCTCATCACCTCATCATCTCATCATCTCATCATCTCATCATCTCATCACCTCATCATCTCATCACCTCCAGCCTCTACCAGCGCACCTTGGCAGGGCGGTGGAAGCCCCCCACGCCACTCTCCTGCAGCAGTGCGTAGTCGTCCTCGTCCAGCTCGTCGTCCTCCTCCTCCCTGCGGCATGACACACGGGCATGGGGCATGGGCCATCAGCAATGGGGCACGGGGCACGGGGCAGAGGGCACGGGGCAGAGGGCAGAGGGCAGAGGGCAGAGGGCAGAGGGCAGAGGGCACGGGGCAGAGGGCAGAGGGCACAGGGCACAGGGCACGGAGCAAATTCGTCCTCGTCCAGCTCGTCGTCCTCCTCCTCCCTGTGCGCACAGCATGCCATGGCGCACAGCATGCCATGGCGCATGGGGAACATGGGGAATGGCAGGAACGGGGGGTGGGGAAGGGGCATAGGGCGTGAGACACGTGTCATGGGGGAATGGGCATGGGTAGCCGGGGGGGGAAGAGAATGGGTGGGGCATGGGGCATGGTTCATGGGGCATGGGGCATGGGGCATGGGGCATGGGGCATGGGGCATGGGGAATGGCATGGGTACCTTCAGTTAGCGCCCTTGCTCCCCCCGTGCCTCACCTCTTCCGGCGTTTCTTCTTCTTCTTCTCCCGCCGCTCCTCGTCGCTCCCAGGCCCCTCGTCGCCTCTCCCCTCCCCCTCCCCCCCCTCCCCCCCCTCCTCCTCCTCCTCGTCCCCGTCCACCATCCACCCGTCCTTCTCATACTCGTCCTGCCCCTCCTCTGCGCAACCCCCCCACAAAAAGGACAGACACGCAATCAGACGACTGCCGACTTGTCAACTTACCTTTGAGTCGCCACTGTCAAAGCCCGCTGCTCCCCTACAATGTCGCCACTGCCATTGCATTATCAACATACAGTCACAGGACCGACCGTCAGCCTTTATGCTCCTTTTTTCACGTGCTCTGGATCTTCCAACAAGTGCCCTTTTCTCGCCCTACCTCCCTCCTCTCGCCCTACCTCCCTCCTCTCGCCCTACCTCCCTCCTCTCGCCCTACCTCCCTCCTCTCGCCCTACCTCCCTCCTCTCGCCCTACCTCCCTCCTCTCGCCCTACCCCCCTCCTCTCGCCGTACCTTCCTCCTCGTCGTCATCCTCCCCGTTCACGTCGTCGCCCTCCTCTTCCTCCTCCTCCTCCTCGCGATCTACCTCGTCTGGGCCGTGCGATCGAACGTGAGTGTGTGTGAGTGAGGGATGGATGAAGGGAGAGGGGGAGAGAGAGGGGGCGAGAGAAAAGGAAAGACAGAAGGAAAAGGGGCTGTGGAAAGGATGAAGGAGGACGAGGGGGTGAAAGGGTGAACTGCGGGATAGAGGGAAGCGAGGCGGGGAGAGTATGGAAATGAATAGCAATGACGGTGGGGAGAGAAAGAGCGCACAGAACCGGGCGTGGGGACGGGAGGGGGAAGGAGGGGATACACGCGGGGCGGGGCGGGAGTGGGGAGGAGGAAACAGAAGTGGGGGAGGGGAAAGCCAAGGTTCAACTTTGTACGACAGTTGCCGATTACGCAACTACTCCGTCTGCTACACCGGAGTTGACCTAAGTCTCTTTCAAACCGTTCGACACTCCCCGCGATGAACGCCCGGCCTAACAACTCTTTGACTGTGCAACTTCGACCCTAACAACCCTAAGAACGACCCTAACCCGAAGAGATCTAAGGAAGCAAACTAAACCGTAAAAATCGCACTCGAGAGTCTTTGAGAATTCAGGTCAGGACTTCCTACCCGGATCGAAACCCATGGTCGGCGTGTAGGCGGCACAAGCAGATCAGGGAGCAGACGAACGAGTGATCCACTGCCACACTCCTGCAGCCAAATCTCGTAAGACGCTTTGATTGACAACGGCGTAAACCTAGATGAGGGTGGCTCCAACTACAAGGAAAACGAGGCTGCCATGGAATCTGGGAAGCGAGACCCGGAGAACTGGAAACGGGAAGAGTCCAAGGGAAGTGGGAGCAAGAAGTGCGGGAGAGGGGGTGCAGGTGTGGGATTGAAACATGTTGCAATCTCTGTTGCAAGATAAAGTGCAAAAATTGCTTCAGGGCGTGACCGAAGGGTACGTTTAACCTTTATTCTGCAGGGTCAGATATGGTGCTGTGCGATAAGAAATGGCGAAGGCACAAAGTGGTTCGTGCCACTGTACCGATCTGCACGACGTGCCTATATTCTCCGCGATTCGAGTGCACCAACCCTCACTCTTTTGACTGGACACGAGCAAACTAGGGTGCCACGATACATCCTCATTCCGCACTAATAACGAACCGAAAATCGATATTGCCCGACCCCAAGACACCTAAGTTGGAGGAACTCGCTTGAGAACCATTTTCAACTTAAAAAACTGACGTTAAGCCCACAGGCTTGAATAACAAAGGGGGGGGGCTATTGAAAATTGAGTTTTTTAAAGCCCGTGTCTCATAATTCTTGTTTAGGATCAAAGCGTTAGAATACTAGAATAAATAGAAACAAGAGAGTACATGGAAGATATAGGCTTGGAGATCTATATATAAACATATGTATAAGTTGGCACACACCCTAGGCTAGATAAGGGGCAGTCCGGAGCAAGGAACACGCACCTCATGGTGGCACTACTAGTCCAACCTCAGGGGTCCGAAGACCAGTCAGCAAGAGTACAAACAGGACAAGAGCAAATCAGGGCAACTGTTATGAATTATAACTCAGAGTATAGCGCACAATGTTAAAAGGTTAGCTTAGCTAGGAAGCTAGGAAAGGCGTGAGGTTTAGCTAGGAGGAGCCATGGAGTGGCGTGAGGTTTAGGAATGAGAAAATTTGAGGAGAGAAAAAGGGAGTTGGAATAGAAAGAGAGAGGCTTACAAGGAGGGGATTGTACCCTCTACAGTAAAGTTCGGTAACCTACCAAGCCTAACAATTATATAACTCAATATATAATTTTAACACACCCCCTTGGCTTGGTAGTCACAAGCCCACACACACCCCCACACCCCCTAACCTAGCACCCCCATTCCCATCAGCCACAATGACTCCAACAGGGCCCACAAGGCATTGGAGATGGCGACGGCGGCAGTCCCGGCTGCGGCGACAGCGACGGCGACGACGGGCGTGCGGCGGCAAAAGGCCTGCGGCGACGGGTTCGGCTTGTGACGGCGGTGAGTGCAGCGGCCCCCGCCCTTCCGGCGGCGTGTCCAAACTCCGCGACAGGGGGACGACCGGCGAGAGTCAGGCGGCGGCTGTGACGAAGAGGAGGGGACAGAGGAAAGGGGGAAGGGGCGGGGCTTCGGATCTTCAGCGCAGCGCCACAGGCGTCGCGCGTCCGGCTGGCGTGCGGGTGGGCAGTTTAGCGGCGCCACAAGCGTCGCGCGGCCGGTTGCAGCCCGACGCCGCCGTCACAGAGCGGCGTCGACGCTGTTGCGAGACGTCGACGCTACGACGGCAGCATGGCGGCCTGACGCCACGGCAGCGCGTCGAGACGGCAGCGGCACGACGCGGCCAGCGGCATCACGACGCCGCCACTGCAGCACAACACGGCCGCCATGGCCGCGGGAGCGAACGAGGGCAAGGAGTACGCGGCGGAAGCGTGAGGAGGCGGTCCAGCAGGGAGGAACTCCTGCTCTAGTACCATGTTAAAAGGCTAGCTTAGCTAGGAAGCTAGGAAAGGCATGAGGTTTAGCTAGGAGGGGCCATGGAGTGGCGTGAGGTTTAGGAAGGAGAAAAGTTGAGGAGAGAAAAAAGGAGTTGGAATAGAAAGAGAGAGGCATACAAGGAGGGGATTGTACCCTCTATAGTAAAGTTCCGCAACCTACCAAGCCTAACAATTATATAACTCAATATATAATTTTAACACACAATACTAAAAGGGGAACGTGATTACAGAGTGATACTGAATAATGAGGCCTAGGGATTATGTAGTGCGAGTTGACCAGGTTGAATGTCGAGGGTTGGACCAGTCAAGGGCTCGATAGTCTGAGGGTGACGGGGTCAAAATGGGTTCGGAGCGACTCGGAATCAGGTTGGGGCCGAAAAGGTCGACGGGGGCTGGTTTGGCGTGATAACCAAGGGCCGAGCCTGCCGACCCGCACTGTTCGCGGTACTCGCTGTGGCGAGCCCCAATAAGGAATCGTAATTCCTTACACTCTCCCACCTTCTAAAGGAAGGCACTCCTTTTATAAATGTCGAACCTTTTATCTAGGTTAATCCCCGAAGTGATTGTAAGTCTTCAGCCCGGTGACGAGCGTAATGATTACGCCGGCCTGACGAGGCCTTGAGGTCGAACTGCAATCGATGGTCAGAACAGAAAACGTCGAAACGATCGCTTTTAATCTAGGTCGTCGAAGCTGGTCGAATTCTTCTGCTGACCAAACGGGCAAGGGTACATACACCCGCGGAAGACAATGAACAGTGAACCCGTCAAGTGGTCAATGAAATGAAGAACCTGTTCATCAAACGCGAGGTTGTTCGAGTCACATCCGAGAGCACGCCTCCGTGTCCCACGAAAAGTCAGCGAACTCCATCAACCAAGTGACGAAATCATGCGCGGAAGCGTACCTGTGACGAATGTTTCTCGAAGATGGATGATGGAACACGCCGGAAAGGTTGTCGGAAAATTGTAGCACTGCTGCACTTCTTCCCCCCTCCAAAAGAAAACAGCTCCCATGTACCCAGGAAAACCTCCAGAAAACCCAATGCTCCAGGGGAGTCGAAATAATCCCACAGTGCCGCTGAAAATCCCAGAACGCAGCTTCCAGGATGCCGCTGCAAAACTCCAACCGCTATAATTCCCAAAGATGCTCCAAACTTGAAACGCCTCCGCAGGGCAAATTGCGTCGAAAGTCGGGAACTTCCGCAACTCCAGCTCCAGAAGACTCGTACACCAACTCCAAAATTTCTTCAAAGGTCAAAACCCTGCGTGCGAGCTGCCCCCAACACAGCTCCACAGTACTACGACAAATTGTCTGTACATCCGATACTGCTGATTTTAATTCAGATGGCGAGGCGGGGTCGTGTTCACACAGTCGGGCAAATTGAGAATTTAGGTGGTAGCGGGTGGTGGCGCGAGGAAGACGACAATGGCGATGACCTGTAACCTGTACCGAACCAGTCTCGTGAATATCCGCGAAGAGAACCCGATATCAAATAACGCCAGCTGCATCAGCTACATTGTCCGTACACGCTGAAAATTTCGGGAAGAGCCGAAACTGCTACTGCTCTCCCTCTACTCCATATAAGAAAACACTCCACAAATGTCGGTCGATGACGCTCGTACCCCTGAAGATAGCGGGCACAACTCCTGCTGTAAACTCTTGAACTGCTCCTCAAAAGCACCGAAAATGTCGGAACCACTCAGTACTTAGCAAATACCGTAACTCCGCTTCACAGCTAACCGTAAAATGCCCAGGCGTGACGGCGTCCTTTAGCAGCGCCCCCACGGTTTCTTCACCAGCTGTACGCATGAACTGAACCCTTTATCTTAGGGTTTAACGGAATCCACCGCCCCGGCATGATTTTTTGGCCGTCGATCAGGGTCAATGCGCATCATACGCCGTTGATCTCCTCACACCTGTAACCCAAACTCCTAAAATACTCTGGTACCCCTGACCAGCTGGTTGTCCAGACGTTCACCTATCTCGCGGCTACTACAGGTTACCCAAAACCGCTTCGCTGCTGCTTAACTAACTAGGAGAATCCGCAGACATAGGAGTGCGCACGCTTCTAGTCAGAGGAGCTTTAACGAGCTTGCCTACTGACCGCTGGACAGCTCCCTCCTCCGTCGGAAACTCGTCAAACTACACCCGCAAAAGTCGGAACCTCCTTCGGCTGCACCAGGTGAAACTCTCAGCTCCACTGCAACAGTAACTCCTAAATTTTCGAGGACACTCCATCTCTCACAGTGTAGTTTGCAGGTTCACCCCCCTTATTCATCCAGAAGCCGTCGAGTTCTAAGTCGATACTGCTATCTGGTGGGAATGGTGATTTTAGGGCGACGTAGCTGAGCGAGTAGCAGCCCGAACGCCGCTAACCCATCTGCTCCAGTACTCCCGTCATTCTTCTCCCACTGCTTCAACTCCTGACAGTTAACGCATTCGGCGACCGGTGGAAAACACTTAGTACACACCCAGGGGTGGTGGCCTCCGTTTCCGTTGATCGCGGGGGTATGAATCGCTGGTCCACAAAAAACGCCTCCCCACGCGGGAAGTCGCCCTCGCTGAGTACACTCACTCCAGCACAGCGTCATCACCTCTAGATGGCCGTCGTAGTGTATAGCGCCGAGGTCGTTAATCTCAGCTGCTCCCACACAACTGCACACCCACACAGCTTCGTGCGATCGTGTCGTTCCGAATTTGTCGAATCCGCCCATTGTTAAAATAGTGTCGAAGTCCCGTCCATCGCCTGCAACTAGCCTGCCGGAAAACGCCGGGACCCGCGACACAGCTACAGTTCACCCTGCCGCTGCATGGCATGTCAGACGTACATCGCCGTACATCCCGCCATTTTCGCCACCCCGCGCTCTTGACGACCAACTCCTGGCCGCCTGAGGACTCCCGTGCACTTGTCTTCTCCTGACGAAGCCTTCGCTTTTTTGGAAGCCAATCCGAAGACTCCGTCCGAACACTCGAAAATTACGAAAGCTCTAACGAACCTACCCGAAAAACACGGCAAAATCGTCGTCCACTCTTCGACGGGAAATAATTCCGTCTACGACCAGGGAAAGGGGAGGACCGGCCAATCCCAGCCGTCCATCGGACAGGATCTGACGGCATCGGCAACTCCCGCACAATTAATTTCCGCGACGTCCGCTCGCCATCAGAATCCTTCCGCCCCCTTCCCCGATAGGGTCTGCTCCCCTACCGGAAGCCTAATGGGTAGGAATGTAGCTCTGATACCAGCTGTTATGAATTAGAACTCAGAGTATCGCGCATAATACTATAATGGGGAACGTGATTATAGAGTG